AGGGGGGCTAATAACTGTTGGTGGGGTGAAAGTGGGCACCAGAGTAGGATGACTAGGACAGCCTGTTGCTGGGGAGGAGGGTGAGGATGCTGGAGAAGCCAAAGAGGAAGAAGAGGAAGCAGAGGAGGAGGGAGAAGCCAGAGGTTGAGAAGAGGCTAGAGGTGGAAGTTGAGGACTTCGAGGCAAAGGTTCATCAGCAGGGTCAAAGGTAGGTTGAGACTTTATAGCTAGAAGAAGTTGGGTGGGAGAGCAGGAAGAACATAGAGAAGGTTTATAGAGGAAAAGAGAGACAGCTTGAACATAAGAAACCTCCTTCTGTTTACCAAACAGTAATTTTAAAAAATCCTGTAAAATATTGGGATTTAATGTGCCATTAATCGGCCAATTTGAACCATTATCTAAGAAATAATTAGGCCAAGTTTTATTACAGGGGCATATGAGCTTAGAGGCCTTTAACTCAGGCTTGTTGCGTGCATAGGGTTTTAAAATTCTCCAGAAGCCATCCCAGTGGGAATGCTGGAGAAACGGAAGAATGGGCAGTTCCCATTGGGCAGGTAGGAGTCAGTGACCCACCAGAGGTATCCCAAAGGCAAAGTTTTTCCCAGTAGACTGGCATGATACTATCTGTTCCAACAGCTCATCAGTGTTGGCCAGAGAGACCAAGGGCACATTTTCCTGTTCAGACACGGTTACCCAGAGCTGGGATTTTTGTAGAGGAGAGAGAGGAAAACCGTGCTGGTAGAAAGAGATCTCACCCAAGAGAAAAAGAAGCCCTGAATGGAAGTCAGCAAAAAAGGGTCAACCATAGCCAGGGAAGGTTATGGTTGAGGGTTTCTCCATCTCAAAAGGTACCAGAAAGTTGCCAGACACTCAATACTCAGTCTTCCCTGACCAAGAGAGACATTTATGCTGACCAATGAGGGGAACTCACCAGTCCAGCAGTGTTGCATGTAGGAGGTTAGAGATCTGGTTGCTGGAAAGTGGGTCACGAGCAGATTTGAAATGAAATCGGTTTCCAGCAGCAACGGTGGCAGTGCTAGCGCTGGGAGCAGCTGCCATGCAGCCTGGCCGCAGAAAGAGTCTATTCCCAATGCACCAATGTTGTGTCAGAGTTATACGGCGGGTTCATAAATCTCATCACGTGACAGGTTCCATGTGGAAGGTTTTATTAGGGGGCTGTGGGAAAGAGAGAGAGAGAAGGAGGGGCAAGTTCTCTTATAAGGTGACCCAGCAAATGCGCAGAACAAGCAGGTGGTTGCAGGTGGTCTGCAGGTGGTCACTGTCACCACAGATTCTGGAGGTGGCCTCACAGATGCCTGATGTTCCGCTTGTCAGGTCCCCTGGGGCTGGCTGTAGAAATGCCTGCTTACCAATCCCAACAGAAAGCATGGCTGAGGTGGAGGATAAGGACAAAGGTTACAGAGTATGGGTGCAAGGTGAAACAAGAGAGATTGGGGTGTATAACTGTAACCTCTTTCAAGATTTGGGCTTTTACTGTGTGTGTAAATGGAAATGTTTAGAGCACAGCAGTAATAACCTAAAATAAGTTAATGTCTCTCTCTTTACGCCTGGGGGTATATACACACTTACATACATGCTGACGCATGGGGTTTGGTGGTTGGGGTTTTGTTTTCTTTGTTGTTTTGGTTTAGTTTTTTTTTTTTTTTTGTGTGTGTGTGTGTGTGTGTTTGTGTGTGTGTGTGTGTGTGTGTGTGTGTGTGTGTGCACATGTGGAGACCAGAGCCAAAAGACAACTCAGGTGTCCTTTCTCGAGTACCAATGACTATTTTTTTTTCTTTTTTTTTTTAAGACGGTGTCTCTCACTAGCCTGGAACTCATAAGCAGGCTAGACAAACTGCCCAGCCTAGGATTTTAAATGCTCAACACCACACCTAGCCTTTTTCCCCCCAACATAAGTTCTAGAAATCAAACTTAGGTCCTCAAGGCCTTTATCAACTGAGCCATCTCCCAGCCACTTATATATATTTTTGAATAATATAGAGCAGGGGCTGGGAGTAGAGCTCTTGAGGTAGAGTGCTTCCTTGCTCAGTGTGCACAGGCCATGGGTTTAACCTACAGCCCCAAATTTAGTCATTATAAATAAATCAACCAGTAAATAGCAGGGAGACAGGTGAGAGATGATCATGGATTGGGCCAGAGTGGAGGACTGATGATGTGGCGGGAAGTGGGTAATGTTTGGAGATGCTTTGAAAAATAGAACAGGGTTTGCTGACAATTAGATATGGTACAAAATAGAAAGAGGAAGTCAGGCCATTTATCATAAAAGGGAATACTACCCCAGGGCAGCTTCAGATAAGATTGACAAGATCAGGAGTTTGTTTTGGGACTTGGTGCATTTAAAAATCCTGTTAGAAATCTAGTACAGAAGCCAGTAAGCAGGTGACACAGGGCAGATAAATTTGGAAGTCAGTGGCATGTGGCTGATATCTAAAGCCATGAGAGAGATGATATCATCAAGTGATGATTGAATGAGAAGTGTTAGGATCCTGCAAAGACAGTAGGGGACCTAACAAGAGGTATTTCAATGAAGGGCTGGAAGTACAAGCCAAAATGAATCAAATCAAATCTCCAGAAAGAGCAGGAGAACTGGAGAAAGGAAACAAAATACTCCCAAATTCAGTTAAAAGAGGAACCAAAATGTGGGCTGGGTGAGGAAAAGGAAGAAAGACAAGAGCTTGTTTGTTTGTTTTTAATTTTGGTTGGTTGCTTGCTTGCTTTGGTTTCTCGGTGTAGCCCTGGCTGTACTGGAACTTGTTCTGTAGACCAAGCTGGCCTCCAACCTGGAGATCCACCTGCCTCTGCCTCCCAAGTACTGTAACTAAAAGCATGTGCCACCTCCACCCAGCTTTCATATTTTAATTTCACAGGTACCCCTCCATATATCTAAGTGCACACGTGTGCAACAGCGGAGGCGCTACAGACAGTTGTGAGCCAGCATCTGAGTGCGATCAGCTAAACTGAGGTCCTCTACAAGAGCAGCAAGTGCTATTAACCACTGAGCCATGTCTCCATCCCTCTGAGGCCTCTGTGTATAATGCTCAGGGGTCAGAATCTGTGGAAAGCCCTTATGACTTCCACTTGATCAGTGAAATGGGGTCAAAGTCACTCCGGTAAGGAAGGAGGAGGTGTACCTGAAGATGAAGAGACTGTGAAATAATCACTAGTCAGTGAACCAGAGCAATGGAACTTGACTGCGAGGCTGTGGCTGGCTCACGTGAGCACTTAGGACAACAGCGTAGGCTAGTCCTTCCAGCCACATAGAATCACAGAGGTGGTGGCTGAAAACACGGAGTGACCTGGGTTAAACCAGCATGACAAAGAAAGAAAAACTGCTGGATATATTTTTAGGGAGAGAATACAATGGACCATGAAATTTCAGCTGACTACCGAGAGAAATGAGACCACAAGGGTCATAAGGAACGTTAAACAAGAAGTACAGCTCATTAGCTCTTGTCAAAACAGGAGGCTCATCAGTTATTGTCGAAGCAGGATTAAAGGCCAGCAAGATGATGATTTGAGTTTGATCCCTGAGACCCACATGTGACTCTTGCAACTTGTCCTCTGACAAGTTCACTGCACAGTTCAGGGCCAGCCAGAGCTACATAAGGAGTTCTAGACCAGCCAAAACTACACAGTGAGACCCTGTCCCAAAAAACAAATAAATGAAAAAACAAAAAAAAAAAAACAAAAAAAACAAAACATGGCCAAGTTGATCCATATAGAAGTTCATACCAACCTTAAGACCTTAAGCAAGACCTTATCTCAAAACAAAACAAGACAAATTTTAAACCCACTAATATAATTAGGTATATTATTCTAGCTACCTCAAATGGCTCAGTGTCAACATGTCAATATTGAATATTAATTAATCTTGGTAAAATTACAACTATGTTAGGAGGCAGAAAAGCTGAAGGGCAAAAGAATGGGGTTGAGAAGACAAGGATAAAGAGAAAACTGCTCAGTCCAGCCGCTGTAAATCCAGCCAGGACTGTGCAATGTGCCTGTCATCCCAGCCATCAGAAGTCTGGGGTGGGGAGTACTGCATGGCAGCCTGGGTTACACAGAGTTCCAGGACAACCTGGACTACCAAGTAAGATTCTGTCTCCCAAAAGGAAACCCGTGTGTGTGTGTGTGTGTGTGTGTGTGTGTGTGTGTGTGTGTGTGTGTTTTATAATAGTCAATAGATAGCGTCTAAAACTGAAGCATCAGGAAGTTACAAAAAATATTAGGCGATATCTGTATAGATACCAGCTAAAAGACTAACAACGCCTTTGGGGAGAAAAAACTGAGATGAAGATGCTGGGTGCACTAGCTGCTTTCGGTTGTGATAAAACACTGACTGAAACCAGCGTGGAGAAGAAAGGGTTTATTTGGCTGTAAGGTTACAGTCCATCATTAAGGGAAACCAAGGCAGGCACTTAAGGCAGAATCTGGAGGCAGCAACTGAGTGAAGAAGAGACCATGGTGGAATGCTCCTGACTGGCTTGTTCCCCATGGAGTGCTCAGCTGCCTTTTCTGAACAACCCAAGACCACGTGCCCAGAGATGGCATGCCCACAGTGGGCTTGGCCCTCCCACAGCAATCAAGAATCAAGAAAATGCTCCACAGACATGTCTACCGGCCAATCTGATGGAAGCAATTTCTTCATTCAGGGCTCCCTTTTCCCAGGTGACTCAAATTTGTGTCAGCTTGATAAAACTAACCAGCACACTGGGAGATAGGCTGATTTTTTTCCATTATTTATTTTTCCAGTGTTGGAAATTATGCCCACTAAGCAAGCCCTAGTTTTTAAATAACAAGCCTTAAATAACTCTTTGCTGTTTTTTATCCTGTGCATATATAACTAATGAAAAAAACCCCAAGTAATAAAGATGAATTGTTCAAACAGTGGATAATGATACAACTTCTAATTACTTCCTGTGGGTTGATTAGACTCCTCAGAGCAAGGTGAAGTGCTCACAATTTGTTTCCTCTCTCAGGAAGGATGCTATCTTGTTAACTGATGCTTTTGACTTCACGGATCATTGTTTGAACTCAGCACTCGGTTGTTATGATGGACATGTCTACGAACGTCTGTTTGAGTGGGCTCAGAAGTCACCAGCCAATACTCAGGTATTTGAGTGAAACCCATTATAAATTATGTAAGACGGCAGAGCACATGCAGTAAATACATCTCCATGTTTCCCCCATTGTAACCGATTCTGCTTAGGTTGAAAATCACTTGGCACGGTGCATCTGTTTAAAATACTTTCAGAGAATACATAAAAGAAACCAGGGGGTGCAGCCTGGCAGGAACTGAAATCAGCAAAATGCGCAGCTCAAAAATGTGGAACGAGCATTAGGAGAAAGGCTCATTTCTAAATCTTGACTTGACATACCCAAAGGCATACACAAATATCAGCAAGCTGGCTTTTACATTAACAAAACTAAGATAAATCGCAGCAGTGCTCAAACCATCTTATTTTCAGCCTCTCAGCTCTGTTTTATGTAGATAAAAGTGCACATTCAGAGGTGATGGGAAATTTGAGGCACTGCCATCAGTGGGCAGGGACAGCGCATGCCTCATAAGGGGGATGGTGATAAGACTGTCCTCAGAGAGAATTTCAGTTATCCCAGCCTCACTAGCCAAATTTATGAACATCAGTGGGTAACTGTGCTGCCAATTTAGGAAGCCCAGGCAGATTTGACACAGATAATCCCAACAAAGAATCTGTCTATCTTTAGGCCCACACACAAGTTGTTTCACTGGGCTGTGTATATTAGAATTTATAAACAAATGACTTTCAGATGGTGAGACTTTTTCTTTAGTCCAACTTCAGAAAGGTGTCTTAACAGTGCAGTGATCAACACTCAGGCTTTCTCTCACACTTAGCCAAGTGTTATTAGACTGGATCTTGACAGTTCATATTCTGCACACACCAGAGCTTAGTGTAACATTATTATCTAAAGCCATAAGCTCCAGGATGGCTGCCAGACAGAAGGCCAGTCCATTTCAGTCAGGCACCATCCACAAGCTGACATCACTTCAGCTCAAGGAAATGTGACTTACACGTTTACTGCTCCTTACAGCTAAAACTATTTCTAGTTCTTTACTTTTCTAATGGATAGACCTCTGTCCTTGCGAATGTTTCAATCCTGGCATAAAAGCAAAGCAGCCCTTCCCAACCCAGCCTGCTTCCCATGGTCTCAAGAGAGACCTATGCTCTTTGGTATGCCACAGAACCATCGCCCCTCCCCGCTCACCTGTCAGCAAATGCAGAGACACAGCTCAGACCTGTTTAACTGGCAGCACAGGAAAACACTCCTCGCCTAGATGCCTCGGGGTCACGAAAGATTGTAGTAGGGGCTACCTTGTTTTTCTTCATTCCTAAAAGACTTTAATCTGAAAACCATAGCAGGCTTGCAGAAATGCGACTAGCCCACCACACTGACTGATTATGTAAAAGGATGACATACTTCATCCAGTTCCTTTAACTCTACTTCCTTCGGCTTAACCAAGGAGAGAGGTTCTTATGACCTACATAATGATATAGATGCCACACACACCCATCAGCCTGCCTTATATTACCCTGTTAAAAGTGACAGATACAGCAGTGTGGCTCTTTCATGAACAGCAGTTTAGGAATGGGAGGTTACAGATGGCTTTGACTCCTCTTAGTCAAAATGATACTTGGTTGACTGCTAATACTCAGCCATATGATCTCACAGTTCCTGTTCCTTTGAAAAGCACCATCTTTTTTAAAGATTTATTTATTTATTTATTTATTTATTTATTTATTTATTTATTTATTATGTATACAATGTTCTACCTGCATGCCAGAAGAGGACATCATAGCTCATTATATATGGTTGGGAGCCACCACATGGTTGCTGGGAATTGAACTCAGGTCCCCTGGAAGAGCACCCAGTCCTCTTAACATCTGAACCATCTCTCCAGCCCAAGCACCAACATTTGTAAAAGCTATTTTTTGATGGGTCATAATTCTGAAGTGCAGCAGACATTTTTTTAATAGAAAAAAGGTACATTCAGGTATTTTAACTTATTTGTTGAGACAGCAACTATGTTGAAACATGCCCTATGGACACGAAAATACAAGTGCTAGTGTTCTGCCGGAAGTAAAATGCTAGGCTTCATGTCTTTGCTCCACGGGAGTCTCTCTGTCTGGGGCAGGTTGGGATGAACTTTCTCCCAGAGCAGGATAACACGCTCCCCTAGTGTACTCTACTGGTGCCTGGTTTTTAATTTCTGACTGATCTAGAAAGCTGCCATAAATGGTTCTCCCTCCCCACATGAAATCACATCCGCGCAATCTATGGAAGCAAGAAGGAATCATCAGGGGCCACGTCAAACCAAGAACCCTTTCTTTTAAGTGTTTGTTTGAGGGTCTTGTGTAGTCCACGCTGGCCTTGAATTCCTATCTCCCAAATGCCAGGATTACATGTATATATCACACCACAGCAAAACCCTATTCTTTCAATAACTCTATTGCTAAAGCATGTCCAAGGAAAGTGAAAAGTGTTAAATCATATCCAGTTCACTTATTCAAATGATACTTACTGTGCAATGCTGGTGTGCTGCTTTTGCATAAGCAGTGGAGAACGGAGTGTAGACCTGTGTTAAGGATCTTATATTTTCTGTAGACAGGAACAATGAAATGAGCAAGAAAAGGAAAGGAAGAAGTCAAAGCATTGCTATTTGCACATGATATGATAGTATACGTGAGTGACCCCAAACATTCTACTAGGGAACTCCTAAAGCTGATAAACACCTTCAGCAAAGTGGCTGAATTCAAGATTAACTAAAAAAAAAAAAAAAAACAGTAGCCCTCCTATATACAAATGATAAACAGGATGAGAAAGAACTCAGGGAAATAAAACCCTTCACAATAGCCACAAATGATATAAAATATCTTGGTGGAACTCTAACCAAGCAAGTAAAAGACCTGTATGACAAAAACTTCAAGTCTTTGAAAGAAAGAAACTGGAGAAGATATCAGAAGATGGAAAGTTCTCCCATGTTCATGGATCAGTAGGATTAATACAGTAAAAACGGCCATCTTTCCAAAAGCAATCTACAGATTCAACGCAATCCCCATCAAAATGCCAACACAATCTTTACAGACCTTGAAAGAACAACACTCAACTTCATATGGAAAAACAAAAAAAACAGGATAGCTAAAAACAATCCTGTACAATAAAAGAACTTCTGGAGATATCTCCATCCCTGACTTCAAACTATACTACAGAGCAATAGTAATAAAAATTGAATGATATTGGCAAAGAAACAGACTAGTTGACTAAAATCAGACCTAGATGTAAACCCACACACTTATGGACACTTGATTTTTTACAAAGAAGCCAAAATTATACAAAGGAAAAAAAGAAAGCATCTTCAACAAATGGTGCTGGTCTAACTGAATGTCGGCATGTAGAAGAAGGTAAATAGATCCATATCTATCACCCCGTGAAGTGGAAGGTTTTGGTTTCTTTGAAGATTGTTTTGTCATGTGATATTCTGCTGAAAGCTGGGCACATGTTTTGCTGGAAGTTGGCTTGTGAGAGGGCATGCTATTTAAGAACCCTAGGTTTGATGAAAAATCTAAGCCTACAACCCTGCACAAAACTCAAGTCCAAGTGGATCAAAGACCTCAACATAAATGCAAATACACTGAACCTGATAGAAGGGAAAGTGGGGAATAGCCTTGAATGCATTGACTCGGAGACAACTCCCTAAACAGAACACCAACACATCAGGTTCTAAGATCAAAAATTAATAAATGAGACCTCATGAAACTGAAAATCTTTTGTAAGGCAAAGGACACTGTAAATAAGACAAAACAGCAGCCTACAAAATGGGAAAAGATCTTCATCAATCCCACACCTGACAGAGGGCTAATTTCCAAAATATATAAAGAACTCAAGAAACTAGCCATCAACACACCAAATAATCCAATTTAAAAATAAGGTATAGATCTTAACAGAGACTCTCAAATGGCTGAGAAACAACAACAACAACAACAAAAGTTCAACATCCTTCACCATCAAGGAAATACAAATCAAATGACTCTGGGATTCCATTTGGCACCTATCAGAATGGCTAGTATCAAAACCACAAGTGACAGTTCATACTGGCAAGGATGTGGAGCCAGGGGGAATACACCTCCATTGCTTGTGGGAGTGTAAACTTTTATAACCACTTTGGAAATCAGTTTGGTGGTTTCTCAGAAAATTGGGAATAGTTCTACGTCAAGACTCAGCTACACCACTCCTGGGCGCATACCCAAAAGATGTTCCATCATACAACAAGGACACTTGCTCGACTATGTTCATAGCAGCTTTTATAATCCACAGACCCAGAGAAGCTAAGTAACAAGAAAGGTTCAAGGGGGGAAAATATGAATCTCTCTGGGAAAGGAAAAATAGAATAGACATGATGGTTGGAGGTAGGGAGGCTGAGGGGGGCCCAGGAATGAGAGGGATCAGATTGAGGGAGGCTGGAGGGACAGTTCTGGGAGACAACTGGAATTGAGGGGCATCTCAGGGACAACCTAGAAACCTGATGCAATGGAAATTCCCAGGAATCTACAAGGGTGCCCTAGCTATAACTCCTATCAGTGGGGGACACAGAGCCAGAACTGGCCATCTCCTGTAACCAGGCAAGACTTCCAGTGGAGGGATTGGGATACCAGCCCAGCCACAAAACCTTTGGACTACAATTTGTTCTGCCTACAAGATGTGCTAGGGTAAAAGTAGCACAGAAATTGTGGGAGTAACCAACCAATGACTGGTCCAACCTGAGATCCATGATACTAGAGGGAGCCCAGCCTTGACACTGCCTAGACAGCCGCGACCCAGAGGCTGGATAGCCCAGAGACCTGGGATAGAACCAAACACAACTGAAAAAAAAAAAAAAAAGTCAGGAAAATAATGCCTAGTGATATACTGCTATACTCATAGATTGTGCCTAATCCAATTGTGATCAGAGAGGCTTCATCCAGCAACTGACAGAAACGGATGCTGAAATCCAGAGCCAAACATTAGGCAGAGCCAGGAAATCCCACAGAAGAGGGGGAGGAAGGATTGTAAGAGCCAGAAGGGTCAAAGACACAGCAAGAAAATCCACAGAATCAATTAACCTGGGCCAGTAAGGGCTCACAGAAACTGAACCAAAAACCAGGGAGCATGCATGGGACTGACCTGGGCCCTCTGCATACATGTTACAGTTGCATAGCTTGGTCTTCTTGCAAGACTAATAATAGTGAGAGAAGTTGCTGTCTCTGACACTTTTGCCTGCTGTTGGGACCCTTTCCTCATACTGGGCTGACTTGTCCAGTGTTATTACAAGGGGAGGTGCATGATATGCCATGTTTGGTTGATACCCATCCATAGGAGGCCTGCTCTAGTGATGGGGGCAGGACATGCAGAAAAGAGGTGGGGAGAAGAAGAGGGAGGAAACACTGCAGTGGGGATGTAAAAACAAAAATGAAATACACTTAGAAGCTGAGTATATAAGAAAGGAGAAAGAAGCTGATGGGTAAGCCTATTCTGACAGAACATGGCCTCCCTGTTTCTACTTTCTGGTTCCTTGCTTTGTGGTTCATGTTCAATTTCAAAACACCTCAAATAGTGAAGGTTTTATTTGTATTAAATTCCAAAAGTGGAGAATAAGCTGTAGGTTTTTCTTTTAATCAGCCACCTGCATGCACAGTTTAAAATCTGCCTAAGGAAGTATGCTTTTTGGCAACATTTTTACCATATGTTCACACAAAATGAAGTTCAAAAATAATTCGAAAAATTAAGACTCTTAGGTAATGTTACATTTTTAAAGTGAAGTACTTAATTTGAAAGTGAAGTCATTAATTCTAAAAGTGTTCTTTAAATAATGTACTTCTCATAAACATAGGAGAACCCTGCCTATGGGAAATATATCCGTCCGCTGCTGCAAGGCTGGAGTCCCAAGCTGTGAGAAGCCAAAGTACTGAAGACCAAGAAGCACTAAGGTGGTACTATGGCATGTACACAAATACAGAATTAAGTTTAAAGCAAAGGGCAGAGTGACAGGTTGCTCAATTCCATTAGGAAACTGGTACATGAATGAATGTTCATCATGTACAGCTGAAATTTTCCCTTGTCCATTGGTAGCAAGTATTTGGCTAAATGCTAGAATTTTGCGTTCAATACTGCAAAAGCTAATAAACTCATTAGTTACTACTTGTGTCATTTATTTATCTAGGGGATGCTGGGGTTGAAAAGTCTGAGGGATGTCAGCACTCTACCACTGAGCTACCCCTGTGGCCCACAACCTCCCTTTAGCATTCACCTTGAGCTTTGCAAGGACTTAGATGCAGCCCTTCAACGGTGCCTGGGTGTGCTATAGTCTAAATAAAATATACATGCCCAAAGAGCAACATGTCTTTTTTAAAAATCAACTCTTTTGCAATAAAAAATAAGGTTCCATAAAGAGATAGAATTGTCTTAATATACCCAAACATAGCCAAGCTACATTTTTTTCATTTCATTTCCCATTACAGAAGAACATAAAGCAGTTATGACATGGAATGCAGCTAAGTGTTAGAGCACTTACCTAACATGAAAGGCCCTGGTCAATCCCTAGGACTGAGGGAAACAAACAAAACCTACAAATCCTGCTGCCTACTTTTATTCATATAAGCAACCATTCACCTGCTAGTAATTAGTAAACAGAGAAACTTTACCAAAAACAAACTTCCCTTTTGGGAGAATAAGGACAGGGAAGAGAACTCCTAAGTTTTCCTTTTTCACAGACTGGGAACTAATATTATTCCTAGTTCTACAACTTTAACATTTATTATTATTATTATTATTAGTGTGTGTGTGTGTGTGTGTGTGTGTGTGTGTGTGTGTGTGTGTGTGTGTGCCAGAGGGGTCAGATCCTGCTGGAGTGGTGATTCCAAGTGGTTGTGAGCTGTTGATGTCAGTTCCGGGAGCCAAATTCCAGTCCTATGCAAGAGCAACCCCCTCTACAGGTTCCGAAGCCAAATCATCTCAGTTCATGCTGACTTCTGCTGGTTCCACAGCACATGACAGATTTGTGTTTTTATTTAGGAAACTGTCTATCAATTTACAATAGGAGCATGTGCTCCAAACAGTAACCTCTTCTCACCAGTTCATCAATATACTGAAACTATAGCAACCTAGCAATCGTTAAGTATACTAGTTTGAAGATCAAGTACTTTTGGGTTTCTGTGGTGGAGGGGCTAATTTATCACATCTTAAATTTTCAAAGAGATGTATAATATTCTCATTTTCCTTTCAAAGGCAGAATCTTGGAACAGTCTCACAGAGAAGAGGAAAAGGGTGTCTTGTCTGCCCTAGAGCCAAAACCGCAGAGGTCCACAATTTCCCTAAAACAGGGAAGTTGTCATGCAATGCTCACCAACTAGAAAGTCTCCCATAATTAGCACAGTCCTTCCTGCAAGTAACCTTCAAGCAACAGAATCACATCAACCCCCAAAACCAAAATCAAATGTGTACACATTGTCCCAACTGTTTCCAATCCTTCACTGCAATCTCTGTCTTCTCAGAACTAAACTTATGTTTGATGATTACATTTGTGGGTTACCACAGTACACCAGGGTAAAATGGCTGCAATCATTTCGTCCCCAAGCGGGAATGAGTCATATTCATAGATGTGACAGTTATAGTATTCACTGTAAATACTATCTGAAAAGTTTTGCACTCTTTAGAGAAGACTGCTTATCTCCAGTGACACAGCTAGCTTTATGGACTACAATGTAAACTTCCACTGAGTCCTTTCAACTCTATCACACATGTGCTATAAGTGGTTTAATGACATAAACAATGGATATTTTCAACAAAGAATATGATTTTTCCCTACAAAGCAATAAATACAACCCTTAATGTTCATATTCCATTTTTTATTAGATTTTTCTCTCCTGGTAGACAGTACACTTGGGAATGACTCTGTACCAGGCATGAGGTTTCTACCACAGGGACATTTTGTATTGAGAATCCAATATAAATATTTCTAGTCAGACATTTCCATGGCTACAGATATTTGGTTGCTTGATTTATATGCATAGAAAGAAACAGTTGTCAAAACTGTAGAAAGCAGTCCTTAACAAGTACCTTTAGATGACTGGCCGGCTTTCCTTTAGTACTACAATACTGCCTACTGGTCTGGAAACTGGGTCACCCTACATGACATTCTGATTTTTCTCAAAGACATCATGAACACTCTGTTTAATCTTCCATTTACGTTTCTTTAGCCTTCCAGCTGAGTTATGGACCACGTTATCAGAAATCATTTTAGCACTGTTAAGGGCAGATTATATACCATAATGATTTTCAGATCTCTTTTTATAGAAAAGGTTTCTGGAGATTCTGAACAGGCACATGCATACTTGGGAACAAAATAGGGCAGAGACTGCTCACACACAAAACTTCCTTCTGGTCCTCAATGCCTTCAAATAAATACAAATATTAATTTAAAAAAAAAAAAAAAAGAAAGAGGGTCCACACTATGATTTGAAAAACAGCAACAGTCTCTTCCATGTCCCATGTGAGTTTGCAGGAAGTTCTCTGAGGGCGAGCCATCAGTCGTCCGTCTTCCGGGCCAGTCTACAGAAAGTCCAGTTGTGCTCTACTGTGTTCTCATTGGCCCGCTCGCTCATGTGATGCACCCGAGTATTGCGGATCGTGAAGCCTTGCTTTGTAATGTATTCCATCAGGTGGACCCGGAGAGAGACTTCCTGGTGATAATCGCATGGTCCAAAGGTGAAGGAGACCTGGCAGTCTCTGGTGTCCATCATGTGCTTATTCCACTTGGTGAAATAATTTGAGATGCCCTCCAGTAAGGAATGGACCTTGGTGGTGATGGTTAACTGAGTTATAATGACAGCCACAGGATTGGAATATTTAGAAAGCTTCCGAGTACTGGACAGCTCTACAACTTCTTCAAAAGTATCCATAGGATACAAAGGCTTAGGGTCATTGAGACACTGAATCAAGGGTTCAATCTGGTAAAAATCAGCTTCTTTCCGAAGCAGATCAAATTCCTTAAAATCCAGGGGGAGGGTCAATTCTGAAGTCCGTAAGAAGTTGAGGACATAGCGGAAAAGAGGTCCGTCTCGGTCAATGAAGTAATTGCCTTGAGGGTCTCGGGCTGTGGGGAAGTCCCCCCCCAAACATAGCTCCAAGCATGGAATCCGGGTAGCGTGTCAACGTGGTGAGAGACGTTGTATACAAGTGTCCACCTACATTTAACGTGACTGGGTCAGTCATCTGAAATAAAAAAAAAAAAAATCAGTCACCCGAAACCTTAAAATCTTAACTTCAACAACTAAGAAATCAACACTAACAAGCAAAGCATGAGACTCCTTCAAGCTAATAAATTAATATAGTTCTGGGGTACATAACGGCTTTACTTTCAATGCTAAAACTCACCCAGGAGAAGGGCTTCAGCATTTGCTTTCACATAGAATAAGTCCAATCCTTTAAAAGTTTACTCTAAGCCTACCAGGTGTGAGCTTTAGTGTCATACAGTGAAGTCAGAATCTGAAGAGGTTTTGGGTCAGATCTGCCTGACTCTACTTCCCTAATATTGGTATTAAGGTGTATGCCACCACTCTGACAAGACCTTCAGTTTTTTTTTAAATTTAACATAAACTAGAATAAAAATAATCTATTAAGGAATTTCTATAATTACTGAGTGTTAACCAATTGTACCACTGGAGTATCCATACTTTGGAATTTTGGGGGGATTTTCTCCTCAAAGAAGTCATTAGATTTATTTATTTATTTATTTATTTATTTATTTATTTATTTATTTATTTGTTTATTTATTTTGGAGACAGTTTCATATAACTTAGGCTGGTCTCACACTCACTGTGTAGCTAAGGACGATCTAGAATTCCTGTTCTTCCTGATCCTCCTGCCCCTCTGCCCTTCTGCTCAGACCGTGCTAAGAGCACAAGTAATGTGCCATCACACCTAGCTGTGAAATGTATATGTGTGTGTGCGTGCATGTATGCATTCATTCATTCATCCATCGTGTGTGTGTGTGTGTGTGTGTTTGTGTTTTACCTGCATGTATGTATTTGTACCTCATTCAGGCCAAGGGTATGGATCTAGGAACTGGGAATTCCAGATTGTTGTGAGCCATGAGATAGGCGCTGGGAACCAAATCCAGGACCTCTGCAAGAGCATTAAGTGCTCTTAACTGCTGAGCCATCGAGCTGGGTGTGCGGCCACACACCTATAATTCCAGCACTCTGGGAGGCAGAGGCAGGCATATCTCTGTGAGTTCAAGGCCAGCTTGGTCTACAAAGTGAGTCCAGGATAGCCAAGAATACATAGATAAACCCTGTCTCAAACAAAACAAAACAAAATAAAACAAAAGAACCAACAAGAACAAACTGCAAAGCTATTTCTCTAGCCCCAAAATGTATTTTAAAAACAAAACTTTGTCTGGAATCAATCTTAGTTTTCATGGAGGCAACAGTTTCTTTCCTGGTTTTTGTTGTTGTTAAGACAGCATCTTACTATGTAGATAAAGCAGGCCAGAAACTCACAGACCTCCTGCCTTTACCTCCCAGGTGCTGATATTACAGGCTTGTACCAGCATGCCCATGAAATAAGTTCCAAATACTAAATTAAAATATATGGTTTGGTGAACACAATCTAGCCCACCTTGTAGCCCCAACCTACCATATACAAAATGGCTGGTAGCAGCTTCAAAATGTCACAATCTGATTGTGTGTTCACTTTTACAACATTAATGTTGCAATCTAACCTCTAATTTTGAGAAACAAGCTTCTCAAAATAACAAACCTTCAGCTTTAAAAATCTTATTTTAAAGAAAAATAAGACTCTTCAGGTACTAAGAAAGCAAAATGTTTCTTACCAGATGAAGCAGAAAACAGGGAGACATGGACACATGCGAGAAGAAACGCCCTCTAAACATTAATCCCTTTACTACAATAGAGTACTCTCCCTTCCATTATCCATAGGCGCTTTACACATCACCATTCCACGAACAGAGAATTTAAAATGCCACATACACCAAAGACCAAAAACATCATGGGATAGCTGAAGTTAGTGATTATAAACAGTTACTAGGAGGAACAGGAGAGATGTCAGGGGTTAAGAGCCATGTACTGGTGCAGCGGACCTGAGCTCCACCCGGGGCGGCACACAGTAGCTGCAGGGGATCAGATGCCCTCTTGTGGCCTCTGGGAGCACTGCACTCACTGCTTCCCCACACTTAATTTAAAAAAAAAAAAAAAAAAAAAAGTTATTTGGAGAATATGCAATGAGTCTTCCACTAAAACATCAAACCAAATAAAATGCCTCCCAAATACAGAGAACACAAATTTAGATAGTCTGCACAAATTCATAGTTTTCATCCTTGTAAGATAAGCCTATGAAAGGGAAATGATTTGGCCCAGGTATCACAGCTAGCAATGAGGCAGGGACCCTGTTTGAGTTCAGCTCCCCTACTTCACAATCGTGCTGGTCATGACACTGCCAGACTCTTCTACCTACGGGAAGCAACTCCTCTGGGACAAGATACTTCACATGGGCAAACTACATGCATCCTGTCATAAAATGAGGAAGAGAAGGACATCAAAATTATCTGCCCGTCTTCAAATTGCAGCAAGAACCACTCACCATATAGCCCCAGTCTCCATTATCCATCTGCTCCAGCACTGCGTCTTCAGGAGCCCAGGAGCCAGGAAAACTCTGAAAGGAAAACAAGCACAGAACCCTGACAATGGAGAATAAAGGCTGCTCTGCCAAATGTAAGATTAAACCTCACAAAAACTTCTCCTATAAGGTCAACAGTAGCCTACAGCAGGACAAGGACGTGGGAAGAAAGCCATAACTTACTGTCCCTTCTCAGGAGCCACTGGGCTCAGAGCTAGTCTACAGGTGGAGAGGGAAAGAGATCATTCAGATTCTATCACTCTGCGCTGGCAAGATGGCTCAGTGTGTAAAGCCGCTCACCTGAAACCTGAGTTGGACCCCTGAGACTCTCATGGTGGAAAGAGAAAACTGACTTCCACACGTTGTCCTCTGACCTCCACACTCAGTCACATGCACACACACACACACACAAATTAAATGTAATTTTAAAAATTACAAATTTTGTCACTCTTCTTTGGAGAGGTAATTTTTACATTTTCAAAGAATTTTAAGTCTACAACCTTCATAATCAACTTTTGATTTTATCAAAAAGGTCATTTAAAAGGAAGGGGGAAAATTCTTTTGGATCATCACATCAGCTGTATAAATGAAACATCTCAGTGAAAACATTTAAAATCATGAGCTTCAAAAACAGTCACTTTCCAGGAGAAACATACCAGTATATTATTATCTTATTAAAAAAAAAAAAAAAACAAACAACCAGGCTTTTAATAATGAAGTATTTCTTTTTGTACATTAATCAAAACAAATACACACCAATTTAAAGGACAAACTGTTAAGGCACAATTTGGGACAAAAAGAACCTTACAGACCTGGCTAAGGGCCACTCAGCCAGCACCATGGAGAGCCAGTTTCAGGCCACTGGCAAATGCCCATGTACTAATGATGCCGCTTTCAATCTGTTTTTATCTACAATTCAAGGGCAGTTGCCCAGCTACTGAACTGCCTTCATTAGTTCCCTCTCGCACATCGTATTCCCTGGATCAGCCTGCAAAGCAAACTGCTGAGCAAATTTCAAAATCGCTAGAAAAAAAAAAAAGCAAGAAGCTCGGACCTGTCAGTATTCACCCCAGAAAAACCAGCAGCTTTGTATGTGGTCTTTGAAGACCCATTTTTCCCACTTTCAGAGGAATCTGACCCCCATTTCCAGAACAAGAACAAGCCCTGGCTACAGAAGATCACAAAGGCTCTTTCTCAAAAGGTCACTCAGGCATGTAGAGAACATTTGCATAGCACAGCAGGGGCTGAAATCAGAGCCTGCAGCAGCTATTTCTCTACCTTTACAAATTCTTCAAAGCTAAAAAAATAAAAAACAAATTCTTCAAAGCAAACAAGCTCAAACATGGACCAACCCGAGAAAACAGAGTCAGCTGTCATCCTTTCCTCTCAGCAGCTGGGTGCAGATGGACAGGCCTCTGTGTACTATGGTGAGATGGAACAAATGTAAAAAGAGCTGTGGTGATACCTTTTCATTCCTCTGACTTACTCCACAAACCCCATCTGATGTAAATGGAAGAAATGAGCTTTACCTATTTGTAGATTCCCTTACTGATAACAACAAATCAACGACGCAGTGAGTTAAAAGGCATTTCCTAATACTCAAAGTATTCTTTCCCAACTGCCTCAATAATCATTCAACCAAAATTTATGTTAGGTCCACTATCACAGGGCAGGGGCGCCCATGTGAAAAACAGATCTACAGGGATAAGAGCATAACCCTGACCCTTGTGGAGCTTTCAATCCACAAAGGAAGGCAACATGCAACAACTGAGGTCCACAAAAAAATTCCTAAGTGCTATGGACTGGTGGGGCCCTCCGGAGGAAGAAACCTAGATTCCAGATTGGAAAATGGAGGGCTTCACAGAAGAGCTGGCTCGGTGGAACACTGAAAGAACATGCGGACAATGTGAGAGGGGCTCTAGAATCAAGTTTTAAACAGGCAGGGGCGGAATGGGTGTGTTGTTGTTTGCTTTCTGGTAAGCACACCCCCATTCAGATTACAAAATAAAGAGGCAGGGTGGACCACACGACTTGCTCATAGCCCACACTGGGGAATACCTAACAAGAACTTGTATTTGCTGATTCCTAGTCTAGATTTTTCTAAAAGCCTCCTCTGAGAGTAGAAATTCAAAGAACAAAATCCAAAAACCAAAAAATTAGAAAGCATCAACTTTAGACTCCCCATAGCCAACTGTTAACCCTATCCACATACTTTATTTACAATTTTATATAAACTTAGGTTAGTCATGAGTCTATACAAATCTCTACCACTAAATAATACTGGCAGGCACCTACTCATTAGTGTGAATAATGGTTGCTGTCCCATTTCAGCTGACAGGAAGAATTCCAGTTCGTGAACATTCCAATGGCTAATGAAGAATGGAGGCCCAAAGCACAAGAAAAAAATCAGATACCAGTGTCACCACTCTTACGCCAGGAATAACCTTTCATGTTTATGTCTTCCTGTCTAAATCAAAACAAGACAACTTCTTGTGCAGTATTAAAACACACACACACACAAATCAGATGTTTCTGAGTCTCTTCCACAGCAAAAGCCAAGGTCTGGCTACAAACATATAACGAACCTGAAGCTTAACAATTTAGGAAAGTAATCATGGGAATGCACTTCTATTTTTTAATTTTTATTTATTTGTGTGTGAGCTGGAAGCTGGGTGCACACAGGCCATAATGTGCACATTTACTATCAAGCCAGCTCTGTGAGCCAAGCCCAGATTTCTTTTTTGCTTTTTTTGTTTTTCAAAATAGGTTTTCTCTGTGTAGCCTTAGCTGTCCTGGAACTAGCTTTGAAGACCAGGCTGGCTTCAAACTCAGCACTCAGAGATCGCCTGCCTCTACCTCCTGAATGCTGGGATTAAAGGCACCACCGCCACTGTTAGGACAAGCTCAGGTTTCTTAAAAAACAACCTAAGGCCTTAGAGTTATATGTAAGCTACATCAAAATAAAATACTAGTCACTTCTAAAATAACTAAGCCATCTAAAACAACAATAAATTGTTCGCTAATAAAGTAAAAAAGGAAATATGAAGTTGACCGATTTAAAATTGATCTGTACACGTTGCTTGTAAACATTTGCAGAGAATCATCTCTGCAAAAATCTAGAGAAAAAGGGAAGGGGCAAGATTCTTGCTTATCCAACAGATGGGAACTCTGAACTGATGACTCTCAGGGACAGCTCAGAGATGGATGCAATAAAACACAACCCCAAAGAATTTCCCGAATAGCTTCAGTCTCTGAATTGTTTCCCAGGGGCGCTAACAATTCATTTCCTTTTCATCTTCTCTCCCATCCGGCACAATCTCCAGTGGAGGGCTTAATGAGAAGTTTAAATAACCACAAGCCTGGCAACAGAAGGCCTTCAAGTGGGCATCAAACAGGCCTGTTTTACTTGAAGGGAAGGTAAAGAAATATGGAATATTTCATAAAATCTGTGAGACATTCCTTTAAAGGTATTTCCCTCTAAGTGACTTTTCCTTATTAGAGATCATTCTTAGGGCAGTGACTATAGCCAAACAATGATGATAAAGTTCAAAGAAAGGCTTTCTGACTTTTAAAACAAAACAAAACAAAACAAACAAACAAAAAAATCAGTTCACCTGCAAATATCTGACCTTTAATACAAATAAAATTCTTATCCTAAAGACTGTAAGCCGGGTATGATAGAGCATGCCTTTAATCCCAGCACTTTGGAGGCGGAGGCAGGCGTATCTCTGTGAATTCGAGGCCAGCCTGGTCCACAAAGCAAGTCCATGACAGCCAGCACTATACAAAGAAACCCTGTCTTGAAAAACAAAACAAAAAAGACTGTAAGGCAACCCTGAAGTTCCCCATGGTTGAGCTTCAAAGGTCATTGTAACTAATGTATAACAGTGTGCTAGCAAGCAGGTAAGAAAAACATATCCTGAAGAATTTCTAGAAGCCTGAAAAGAAATTACAGACTTACTGACTTAGCGAATCTGAAGAATGCACAATCCAGTAAGTTAACTTAATACTTAAAACTTCCTTACCATAGTAAAGCTGAATTAAAGAACACAAATATTCTAACTTACTTCTGCTACAGACTAAAAAGCCCCCGGAGCGTAAGTCCTCCTCTGGTGTAACAGTCTATATGCTGTAATGTAAACCTCCAAGGTTTCTGGGTAGCCCTTCCAAGTGCTTTTCTACTGAAACCTTTGTGCCTGGTATCCCAAAATGAAGACTCAGTAAATTCTCTCTCTCTACCTATATTTACCTTCCAAATTGCCTTTGTACTGTGTTTCTCTGTTCTTGGGAACGTGGGAGTTTGAAAGTGAAATACTTTTTATAGTAATTGGTTCAGTGGCATCTACAGGCGTCTTCTGAATTAACACTCACATACAAGCCAGCACAAGTAGCCAAGCGTGCACAAGAATAATGGGATTAGAAAGCTAAATCACTGATAACTAAACCTGAGATTTTTTTTTCTCTCTCCCCCCCCCAACCACGTGGGCTATAAGAAAGGAGATGTAGGCAAAAACATAGAAAGTCTTAGGAGAAATTACGAATTCGCCAAAGTTTCAAGCCAGAATACACACACTCCAACTAAAGCACTGTCAGAGTAAAAAATCATAAATTTTCACTTCCCCTCAGTTTCCACTAAAATGGGGTTTTATGACCTTCCCAAAAGTTATCACAGCATTTAACAAATAGAGGTACAACTGGCTGACAACGCAGTGATAAGCACAGGCACTCTAGTCACATGCAGCCTCCCACCAGAGAAGGGCTATCAGAGCCTGAGTAAATCGCTCTTTACTCCTGGCAGCATAAACAAATTTTGAGTAGCAAAGTCAGACACATTGGGCAAATATGGAGGTAAAGTCCATCCAGTCCGTATTCCCAGTCCGCCCAGGCCTTCCTTTCCCAGGAGTTCCCACAGCTGCGCTAGGAAGAACTAAAGGTAAATCGATGCCCAGCGCTCACAGACACGTGAGCTCTCGGAACTTCTAGAAAGCATGACTCAGGGTTGTCTCCAAGAAAAAGCAGAACACAAGCATGTGTGTTCCATCTAAAATAGACCCCAACTATTAAAATCCAAGATACAGCGATGGATTCATAGGAGTTACCCTAGGATTGCTTTATGTGATGCTGTTCCGGCTAAAATACGCTTTAGGAAAATCCGAACCGCAAAACTTAGGGGTGGCACCATCTGCGGCTATCTTTCTGTCTATCTGTGGCATTACAAAGAACTAAGAATCCGTGCGGGCTCCTAGTTTTCATCCAAAGGGCGATTTTCCCACCCTCCCTACCTGCCCACCTAGATCTTTGCTCTTTTGAAAACACTTCTGGGTTTAGGCCTGTACTGCCCAGCATTATTCCCGTACCAGAATATTTGCAACAGCCAAAAAGATGAGCCCCAAGAGGGTTACGTTGGAGACCGAGGCTTGACGATCCCAAACATTCTTAGCCAAACCAGGTCACCCCGAGTCTACGCATCTCCTGCATCACGAAATCCTACAACCGGGTTTACCAACTTGCTGTGTGAACTGGTGTGCTGAACAGAAACATGACAACTTCAGCAGAATATCCAAACAGGATCTCAGTCACGTTTCGCTTTCCCGTCCCACCCCCAGACACAGCCTCCACTGCCATCGCCCAGCAGGTGCTGCAGGGGCTCCCCACGACCTCGTCAGGAACCACCTCTCACACCCAGCACTAAAACGCCGTGCCATCCCCAAATCCCAGCAGAAAGCTGCAGTCCGTGCAGAAAACCCCAAAGGCAGAGCTTTAAACTAGGGCAGGGGCGGCTAACGAGCGCCACTCCCCAAAAAACACCCCTTTCCCCGCAGAGCCCGCGGGTCCCGGGCCGGGCCGCACTCCCGCAAGCCGAGCACGGCGGGCCACGCGCACCGAGCCCCGAACCCGAGCCGCAGCCCGAAGCCCGCGGCGGACGCGCGTCCCGGGGCTGGCACGAGCCCGCGGCGGGGCCTGGGCGGGGGACTCCGGGCACGCGCGGCCGCCGCCCGCCGTCCTCCTCAGCCCGACTTCCCGCAGCCCCGCCCCGCAGGCCCCGCTCCCGCCCCACTCACCGCGCGAGCGCCGAGGCCACCCGGCCGGGAGCAGCCCGCGGCCCGAGAGCGCGAGCGCGGGG